TCTTTTTAAACATATAAATTTAACCATCATCTTTTTAAACATATAAATTTAACTATCATCTTTTTAAACATATAAATTTAACTATCATCTTTTTAAACATATAAACTTTAACTATCTTCTTTTTAAACATATAAATTTAACTATCATCTTTTTAAACATATAAACTTTAACTATCTTCTTTTTAAACATATAAATTTAACTATCATCTTTTTAAACATATAAATTTAACTATCATCTTTTTAAACATATAAATTTAACAATCATCTTTTTAAACATGTAAACTTTAACTATCTTCTTTTTAAACATATAAATTTAACAATCATCTTTTTAAACATGTAAACTTTAACTATCTTCTTTTTAAACATATAAATTTAACTATCATCTTTTTAAACATATAACTTTAACTATCATCTTTTTAAACATATAAATTTAACTATCATCTTTTTAAACATGTAAACTTTAACTATCTTCTTTTTAAACATATAAATTTAACAATCATCTTTTTAAACATGTAAACTTTAACTATCTTCTTTTTAAACGTATAAATTTAACTATCATCTTTTTAAACATATAAACTTTAACTATCTTCTTTTTAAACATATAAACTTTAACTATCATCTTTTTAAACATATAAATTTAACAATCATCTTTTTAAACATGTAAACTTTAACTATCTTCTTTTTAAACATATAAATTTAACAATCATCTTTTTAAACATATAACTTTAACTATCATCTTTTTAAACATATAAATTTAACTATCATCTTTTTAAACATATAAATTTAACTATCATCTTTTTAAACATATACATTTAACAATCATCTTTTTAAACATGTAAACTTTAACTATCTTCTTTTTAAACATATAAATTTAACTATCATCTTTTTAAACATATAAACTTTAACTATCTTCTTTTTAAACATATAAACTTTAACTATCATCTTTTTAAACATATAAATTTAACTATCATCTTTTTAAACATATAAATTTGACTATCATCTTTTTAAACATATAAATTTAACTATCATCTTTTTAAACATATAAATTTAACTATCATCTTTTTAAACATATAAACTTTTAACTATCTTCTTTTTAAACATATAAATTTAACTTTCATCTTTTCAAACATATAAATTGTTTTATAAATGTTTATGGTGATATCAAGACAATCCATAATCCTGTTCCCTGAACTACAACACAGCTCCTTCACACCAGTTCTAAATGGAGGTTTTACAAACATTTACATTCCCTTAAGTTATATTGACTCTACTTTTTTATATTTAGTTTTTATAAATTTTAATTGAATAAACTTTATGCATGACTTGTAAAATACTATATTCAACCAAATCACAACATTTTAATAATTTAAACTGATGAAATAATATATTTGTTGGGTGACCATAGCGCTTCATAATACTAATAATTCTTATAGTTCTTTGTTGTTAAATAAAAATAGGATTTATAATTGTTTTGATTTTCCCCAAACTTCATTACAACAGATTAAATATGGAACAATCATCACATTATACAATATATACAAAGTTTGTCATTCAAAACTCTTTTCCTTTATACAGTAATGCAACTGATTATTTTTATTTTTAATTATTTTACATGAGACTTCCACGTCGGCTTCTCATCAGTAACGACGCCCAAAAAGTTTATTTCATTAACAACAAATTTCAGTGCTGTCAATTTTAAAGTTGTTTAAAGTTAAAACTATTAATATTGACAAAGTTGAGAATTTCATGTTTATTTGACAGATTTCAATGTTTTTGAAGGATAAATACAAATAAAAGGTGAACATTAATTTATTTGTATAGTTTGTAGTTTTTCTGAGGCTTTTATATTGTTTATATCGATATCGACCGATATTAAGAAAAATATCGTGATAAAAGTTTTGGCCGTATCGTCCCGCCCTACTCCGAGTCCCAACAAACATCGTCTGAACCTTCTGATTCATGAACAGCTACAATCCACTCAGCTCACGCTGACTCAGCGTTCACACAGGAACGCTGAGTCAGCGTGAGCTGAGTTAAAGGAAATAAAAGATTAAAATAAAGTTACTCATTATAAAGTTTAATGAGCTCAGATTAAACTTTTATAACCTTTAACAACATGTTCATGGTTTTTACTTTAATGATGATTTTATCGTTCACTGAGGTTCCTGTTCTGGTCCAGATCCTCGTGTACCGGCTCAGATCAACAGATATGAGCCAAGAAAACCAGAACATCTGGACCTTGTTTTGGTCCATGGTACAGAACATCTGGACCTTGTTGTGGTCCATGGTACAGAACATCTGGACCTTGTTGTG